TATCTGTAGCATTTAGTTGCATAATAAAAACCTCCCAATTACATACTCTTTGGTTTTAATTCAAGTTAAAAATCTTTCAGCACCTTTTAGCATTTGGCGAAAATGAAAATGCCTTTTTGGCATAAATGTGAGACACAGGATAAAACCACCTTTCAATGTCTCATTTATGAAAACCACCCTGCTGGTTTTGAATGAGCAGACTGCAAACAATGCATGAATGACAATAGGAAGGTACATTTCATATGTGCATTCATTCTGGAGCAGAAAAAAAAACGAGTAGACTTTTCCTAACACAAAAATGTCATCTACACAATGTTTTGGTTCCATTGGTGACCAGTCTGTCATTTTGGTTACACTTTTGTCTAGAAATACACAAATACCAAATGTATTTCAGGATTAAAAAAAATATATAGCAATCCCTTCCTCTAATGAGCCTGACATACATTATGTTCCTTATGTGCAATTCTTAAGTAAAGATTTGAAGTGTGGGAGGTTATTGTTTCACGCACATTTATACATTCTGGCTTTTCAGAAGAAATTTCAGACTGCAAGACAGCAAATTCATAGTAGAAATCCCACAAAATTTAAATCTGGTTTTGCTTCCACTGAGACCAATGTCAATTCAAAGATAAGGGAACAAGCCCGATGTCTGGTAAAATGGAATCCAAATATAATGTGCAGTAAAAAAAAAACTTTTTCTAAAACAGTTTTTAAAGATGTTCATAATCCCAAAAACATATTCCAGTATGCAAAAAATAAGGTGTCAAATCTGCAGAGCCAAGATACTGAAAATATTGGTTGGCGCTCCCCTAGTTAGAACTACTTCTACACATGCTATATAATAAACTCTTCTACTTCTACTGCGTTGTGATTTACTATAGTTAGACAGGGTTGAAGTCACATTCCTTCATTTTTTTTAATCCTAAAATCCCTTGTTTTTCTGTTCATGTCTTAGGCAATTTTTGTGCTATTGTACATCAATGTCATGTCGCTTAACACACATTTCAAAACAAATACAATATTTTGCTACGGAAAAAAAAGCTACATTTTCGTAGCTCCAGTATCCCCAATATTCAAAGTTACAGCATTGAACACCTTTCCAAACGAGGCCATTCCCACTAGTTCCACCTACGCAGATGCTCAAGGCCTTCTGGCTCCTTGCTGACTTCAGTGGAGTTCTGCAAGTACTTAGGGCACAGACGTGAGAGCAGGTGAGTGTGTCAGGCGCGAGGGCACCCCCTTCCTGCAGCTGCTCCGTCTCCACTTGGTGCTCTCATATCCCACTTCCAGCATCAGGCACCATGAGGTACGAGCACACCACCTCTTCCCAGGAAGCAGCCCATGCCCACAGCCTGGCTTCCATTCAGTAGCTTTTGTGTCCATTGCCCAAGCTGCTCTCAGGACTCTGACCCCAATTTTGACCTAAGTCTATAGAAAGGTGAATGCGCTTGCATCCCTTAACACCTCTTATACCTAAGAACTCTTTGGGCTGAGATTTCAGAAGCCTGGACTTTAAACAGGCCCTCGTTTTTGCAGACATATGTAACAAATGGTCTTCTCATAAATCAAGTTTCCAAATTTTGCTTCTGTTCATTTCCCGTACTGGTTAGAGATTGCTATAATGGATCTCACAGCAAACAGAAAGGGACCTGCAGGTATAAATTAGATTATTCTGCACCCTCTCCCACTCGTGGGTAGGAATCACCAGGCTGGTGGTTCTCAGGTTCCTTTTAAGTTCTGATTGTGCAAATTTGTAACTAAGTTATGATTAAGGTGGAAATAAATAAATGTACTAAAGAACAGCTGATCTGTGAAGGATGTTATGGTAATTCATCAGACTTCCAAATTGAATCCATAGGGTTCTAAAGCATAAAATATTTCCAAATACTACCTGAAGTATTCTCAATAGTGATAATAAAACCTCTCCATACTCCTCAGATTTTTAAATTTTTAACTATATTGAATAGCACTTTTTTCCTTTTTTTTTTAATATACTGAGCTTCCAATATTAGGTGTTTTGAACTGCTCATCAAATTAATGAACACCAATCAATATTTCTAGGTCCCATTGCTCCAAAGTAGATTCTTCTTCATTTTACATGATCAGAAATCTTCTGGAAAAAAAAAGCCAGATCCCCTTGTGATATGTCATTTCACAGTTTAAAACAAAAATCACAGCTACTGTAGCTTACAGCAGGGTGCACTGCAAAAGCAAAATAATTTGGGGATGGGAGGAGGAGTAGTACACCCAGCACCAGTTAAGCAGTTCAGCAAAAACCTTAATTTGGGCTGGAAGTTTTTCCCCTTAACAATGTTGCATTTGGTTCCTGAACAGCCTAAAGTAGGATGTCAAATACACTGACTTTTGCTTTTCCTCTCTACATAGTATATTTTCAACTTTGCTATTTTGAATACTAAGATATACATTTTAAAGTCAACTACAGTACTTAAGGGGGAAGCAGGTAGTAGGTTTTCTTCACACTAAAAATACTTTGTAAGAGATTCTGACCTACTTCTGTTTGTGGTGCCACCTGAGTTAATTGCCTGTATTATTTTGATGGTTAACCTGTTCAAGTTGGATGTTTTTCACAGATGACCACATCAGGGTCTCTTCATCATCTCCAAGAGCCCACTTCTTGACAGGTATTTTTTTATCCACATTAAGTTTGCAGGACTTTTTTAAAAGTCCCACCTTGAAAAATTTCTTGAACATATAAAGGTGGGCAAGATTTTTAATTAATTTTCACAGATGAAAGTTGTATTTCAAAACCCCATCTGTTTTTCACTTAAGAAAATGGAAAAACTTCTAATGTATTAAAAATGTAAACATAACTTTTCTTGCAGGGGTATAACTGATATATATAATATATATGTATTTCTCTGCTATATGTTAATATTCCTTGAAAACTGAACATACTTCTCTCTTTCATATCAATGTGTCCTAGCAAGAATTTTTAATAGTACTGTATCATCACTCTTAATCCGTTTTTCATCGTCTTTTCTGAGATAGTTGACATTAGTACTTTCTCTTGAGTTTTATTTAATTCATTTTGTGTACATTTTTTTCTACGTTTTTAAATATGTTCAACTCACTCACCAGTAATATTCCCACTGCAATCTACTATCACGTAAACTCCAGATTTGAAGGAGCTAAGAAATGGTCCCGTTTTTATGAATGAGTTAGATTATCAAAATTTAAAATATCTCTAAATGAAGCACCAGTTTCACGCATTTCAATAGCAATACAAGTAATGCCAATTTAGATTCTCAAAATCCAGTTAAGTTTTGGTTGAGAAGCAGCAGAAGTGCTTCAAAGTCACATAAGGTGTGTGGGCATATCTGTGTATGTTCTGTAGTTTTGTTTCTATAGTGTTTGCATCCTAGTGAAGTTTGTATAATGATACTTCAGTTCAAAACATCTGTCACCATCTCGTCCACTTCTTGCAAATTTCTCAGTATCTGTTGAAAGAGGAGAAATAATTTTATGCAGGTGAGCAGGCACGCACAGAAAGAGGAACTGCTGAATACCCACTTGTCAGCTGGAAAGCACCAAGTCAGCCAACAGTAACAGATATTTGGTTTCCTAGCCCTGCATGAATATGTACCTGAGAGGAGAGATACAATGTATGGTGTACATATATACATGTGTGTATATATACATATATATATATATATATATATATATATATATATATATACACACACATACACACACACACACACATATATATATGTGTGTATATATATATGAGGTGTTAGCCCGGAGAAGAGGAGGCTGAGGGGAGATCTCATCACTCTCTACGAATCCCTGAGGGAAGGAGGCACTGGTGAGGTGTGGGTTGGTCTCTTCTCCCACATAACCAGTGAGACAGGATGAGAGGAAATGGCCTCAAGAGGGAATTCCCTTTAGATGGGAATCAGAGGAAACTTCTTCACATAAAGGGTTGTAAAGCATTAGAGCAGAATACCCAGGGAAGTAGTGAGGTCGCTATCCCTGGAAGTGTTCATAAGCCATATGAATATGGCACTTGAGAATATGGTTTAATGGTGAGAGTGGTGTTGGTCCGAGGTTGATGGCTGGACTTCATGATCTAAAAGGTCTTTCTGACATTAACTATTCTATTATTTTATGTACTCAGTAATATTTTCAGAGGTAAGATGGGGAGATTAGATGTTAAAAGCGTGAAATGTAAGTTTGGCTCGTTTAACTACTGAGTTCCTAATGCAAAGTAAGGAATTAATATTTCACAGGCTAACTAGGCAAGTCACACTAATCCAAGTGTGTTTCACTGATACTGTTATAGAAGACTGCACTGGTCATATGTTTTACTTTTCCTTCACTGCTCTGGAATTTGTTTCATATGAACTCTCTACAATGTTAATGCTCCTTATACAAACCAAATGAAGTCTCTTGATAAATATTTCATATGAGGAACTTACACAGTGTTCTGAGAACTGCTTACCTCTGTGTTACAGAAGACTGCTTTCTCTGTGTGTGTTTCACAGATACTAAGGTACAGTAGATCTATCATGAGGACATTTATTAAATGAATTTACCTTTTTGGAGAAAAAAAATTTAAAAAAGGCACTTTTTTGGCATTGCCTAAACTTTTAAAGAGCAAAACTGTAAATTAAGGATGTGTGAAAGAACTGTTTCAGGGAGAGTGGCTGATCTGCAAGTAGCCGCAGCAGTGAAGTAACACACATGTTACTTGGGATTTTGCACAAGATCTTAAAGAGCACTCTAGCTGCTCAGTTGTGTGTGGGTGGTGTAAAAGGGTACTGAATTATCCTAGAGAGGTCCTAATGCCAGTACAAAGGAAGGTGTGCGAGCCAGAGGTTGTTATCTGGCAGACCAGGTAGGAGCAGCAGTTTTGGGAAGTGTTACATATTCCAACGGTGTGAGTGCGAGAGCAAAATTCCTGCAAATTTTAAAATTCCCACGAAACAAAATCCTGTCAGTGGGGCCCAGTGGCAGAGAGGGCAGCAGTGGGGAGGCACTCACGGGGAGATGGTGCAGCCAGAGGCGTAGGCGTGGTGGCCCGTGTAGCGGATGTCGCAGCGGACGATGTTGTTGGAGTAGTCGGATTCGGGCACCAGGTAGCTGGGGTTCACACTCACCTGCAGGGGAGAGAGCACACTGCTGTCTGCTGCCCCTTCAGCTCGTAACTTACATGCCAAAGCATGTATGCAAATGATTTGCTTCTTTCTTTAAACAGGAAAACACTCCCAAAAAACCCCAAACCTCCCCATTCCCAATAGGCTTACCTTCAGAATGTAATTTCCAGGTTTTACATCAGTAATATCAATCCATTGGCAATCTATGTCAGCATTGTAAGTGTCGTAGCAGCCAGGGCTCAGACCCTTAGGAATGAAGTTAAGATGGATGTGAAAAAACATGAATCTTTAAAAACAGTGACATTCTAGACATTAGGGACACTCAGACTGAAGTTCACTTAGCTATCACAGTCCACTTAGAAAATTAACTTAGAAAAGGAATCTTATTTTTAGCTGGCAGTTTATTTGTGTGTCTAAGCTAGAACACCTAAGTCTAATGTACCACTTTTATAGACTGCCCTTTATTGCTACTGGATAAAAAACACCTATAATATTGACAGTTACCTCACAGTCGTTCATCTCTGAGGTATCTATATTTTCTTATAATCACTTGTTACAGTACTCCTTTTATGTCAAAACTGTTGATGATATTGTTTCCTGTTCTTCACATAAGATCAGAAGACAATAAAAATTGACCAAAGACTGGAGGTAAGTATCTGTAATTGTTGAGTGAATATCTTCTGAGATCATGAGTAGAGACTTGATCACCATGTTGGATCCTCTCTCTACCCTTAGGAATGATGTAACATTTTGCTATGGATGTGCCATCTTTGAATAGTAGGGCTAAGGGCCATTTTCACGTTGAGCTTTGCATGGAAATAGTCTCTCTTCAGACAAATAGTGACACAAGAATCTGAGGGAACTGAAAATGCAGCCTTTATTCCAGATGCATCTTTCTGAAAAATTCTTCCTTGTTAGGAACATGAATAAGAAACACCACATATGAACGTGTTGGTGGTTCAAAGCTAGTGTCTTTAGCTGTGGCCAATACACATTGCTCTAGGCAGAGCTGATCTGTTCTGGCAACACACAGAGTGCAGAAAACCCAAGTCCTGCAGGAATTCCCTCTTGACCCAGCTGGTGATCAGCTCAGACTCTTGCATGTTTGTGCCAAGTCTGAGGCTGGAGGAAAGTTTTACAGTCCAATTACAAACCCCTGAAATATGGGCTTCCAATGGAAATGCTGACACAGCCGTGATTCTAGTCACAGAAATATTCAGCTGTAAAATATGTATGTTGCTTAGTTAGATGTCATAGTCTACAGAAGTAGAAAAGGTATTTATAAAACCTCTTCAAAGCTTCTATGTATTGCAGATCCTTCATTATAGTTAAAATTCAGATGCAGACACGTCAGCCAGGGAAACATAGCTGTCATTTCTCTGTGACAGAATAACTACCTTCTAGATTAAAAGCTGCAGAGTAAGGGGTATAGGTTTGTGTGTACGTGTGGCCACACTGAGTTAAACCACAGATCCAGCAAAGCTCAGTGTCACGTCTCTAGCAGTGGTCAGCAGCAGATTCTTAATGAGAAAAGAGCATAAGGAATGGGATGTGTAATGTCAAGCAAATTCCTTCCACCAGGCATTTAACTGTATTTCAGGCACGGGGTACCATTTGATCTTTGTGTTTAATAACATCTGTTACTTTGTCTAAATTTTTCTTGAGCCCATGGAGATTTTTGATCTCTGCAACATCCAATGCCTAGGAATTTAATACTTCATTCATGTGTCCAAAGAGCAGTCCTCTCTGTTTTAAAGCTGTTACCTGACAGGTCTTCAGTTCATATATTGACAGAAACATCAACTATTGTCAGTAAATATGAAAAATTTCCTCTTTAAATCCACAACCAGTCAAGTTTTGGTCTTAACATCTGGTTTTCCAGATGGAATAGTCTATGAAATTTCTTAGCCATACTACACTGCTGATCAACCTTGTTCTGCTGGGGTTGGTTACTTAGGATTTTTTAAGCTTTTCTTTAGCAGTTCTGAGAGGCGGTGATGCAGTGTTCAAGGCAGGATTCTTGCATGGATTTGTCTATCATAATGGTATGTTTCCTTTTCCATGTTCCCCTAATAAGCCCTGGCACCTGGCTTTACATTGGTATGTGCCCCCATAACATCCACACAGGTGCCACTCTCTTAAACAGCCTCCTGCTCTGCGGGCACAGAACAATACCCTGAGATTCCTGTGCCAGGATGCCAGCCAGCAGCTGCAGGTGTTGGAGAAATCCAGCCCCTTACAGCTTCAGACTCCACAAGGGACAAAATACCAGCTATGAGCTCTGGCACCAGCCTACAATGTCAGTTTGGGAAGATGAACACTGGGAACAGCTTCTTTATGGGCTGTCTTGTGTGCCTCTTAGCAAGCCTGACCAGTCCTACTGCCACGAGCACTTGTGGTGTGTTTTAACACAATTCAGTTAGCAGTGGTGCTACGCTAGTGAGTGTCACTGCCCTTTAACAAGAAACCCACAGTTAACAGCACGCGGGGGAATTGCCAGTCTCCAGGTTAGTATCTTGGTCTCTATAATGGGGAATTCCAGAAGCTAGTTAGGGAATCAGGTGATTGACAGAAAATTTACCCAAACACAAACCCGTGGTTGTCTCCAAAGCAGCTCCTACCTGTGTGTGTGCTGTACATGCATACCGCCTGTAATATCCATAATCACAGGAAGTATCTTCAAGGCAGAAACTTGCTTTGTGACCCTCAGCAACTTTTCTGTGTGAGCTTGCATCCAACAAGTCATAGTGGCTGAATTCATCCATGCTGTGGTAATGTCTGTTAAACCACAGATACATTATTAGAGACGGATCAGATCTCATCAATAACATTTTCACATATTCCTATTTGATCTACATCCCGTTAAATCTGGACAAATTTAATTACTTCCCAAAACTTGTGTGTTAGTACACTTTCCTACTACTGACCACTCAATTATTTTCATTACTCTCATTTTCAAGTACCACATGTCATCCTATAAATAAATAATGGGTTTTAATTTGTTATGGGAAAGATTCCATAGCAGCACTGTTTTTCCAAAATTTTGTTTCACCTCTTTTCCAACAACAATAGCAAGTATTAAATAGTTCATATTTGAATTGAACATCTTATAAGTGCCTTTGACCAGAGGTTTGCTAGGAATACTTACCTTACATACCATAAATTCCATGGAAGTTTGCTACTTGCTAGCAAAACCCCAACAATTTGGTTTCACATTTCCATGGCCCTCAGACAATGTAACATATTTGTAACAAAATCAGCATAAAGAAACGGTCTTCTGTGTACTGGCAATGCAGATTTCATTCAATATCAGCTATTTTTATAGTCTGTACTTAATACTGTCTCTATTTCAGAAGTGTTTATTCTTTTGATTTGGGCAAAGTGATGCATTTTTCTTGCTTTCACACAAAGGGACTTCTAGCTCTTACTGTGGAGTTTTAGCACCTCTTGTTCTTGTATTTTCACCCTTTCCAAAAGGGTGGGAAAATAAACTTGTCTTCTCTACCTGCACTGTATCTTTTGGCTGCCATTACTTTTGAATGATTTCAGCTCAAGAGGGATATGAGAAAGACCTAATCAACAAAACTCAAATGTGTTGGTAAAACAAAGCAGCACAGGAGCCTCAAAGCGCATCCAGAACACTAAAACCAGTCCACAGATGATGATGACTAACACTGAGGTCTGATGGCTAGCCAAAGCAACTGGCAGTTTGGGCTCATTTCTGAACGAGTTTGCTTCACTGTTATGGAAAGGATCACGAGAGCTGCATTTTTTTGTAGGCAATGTATTTTCTGTCCAAGAACTGAATCAACATCAGAGACACTTTGCATCTGGACACTAATAGCTGGGCTATTGTGGCACAGTAAGAAACTGTTCTACAAATGGAAAACTTCAACTGCTCTCTACTCATTTCATCCATTTATCAAGTTTGTAAGCATGAGGGTTGGATTTTTGTTATTGGTGGAGATTTTTTTTCAGGGATAGAGATTAACTAGAGCATTTGTGGAGGTTTTTTTGTTAAGTTTGATTTAGTTTTAGCTTTTTTGATGCATGTAAGATTTATAAATTGATAATATGAGTCTTTTTTGAAAGAATTTGTTCTAATGATACTGATTTTTCATTCTATACCTAAAGCCTCTACACCTAGAGAGAAATATTCCATTGGCTCAGAGGCCTTCAGACCTAACCCACATTGCATACCATTTTTAAAAAAGATTAAGTTATCACTTATGTGCCTGTAGCAGCAGAGTTGTACTATAAATAAGGTGGAAGTAAGTATTCTGAGTAATTAGTTCCAGTATTTTATAACTGCTCCTGCTGAGAAGTAGCAAAAACTGGAACAAACCTGCAAATTCCTGCATATGAGTTTTCCATAAAAGGTACAGGTTTGCAGTGTTACCTGCTTGTTCTGCTACATTTCCCTTGCTGTGTTTCCAGCAAATATACTATTTCTAGAGCAATGCTGCTATGTCAAAATATCATCGTATATAGATAGAATATTATTGATAAGGGGATCAGTCAACTCAGTAGCTTTCCTTTTCCAAATTGATCAGACCATTCCTTGTGAAGAACTAGATCATTAAGTTCAGCTCAAGAGGTATGGGTCACTGTTTAAAATGAAGTGTTATTATAGGGAATATGCTAGTAAATGTACATTTTAGGGTTTCTATTTATTTTTACGTGGTTGGGACTTTTATTTACTTAAATGTACACTTAAGTGTAAGTGGACTATATGTAAAATAAAAGGAGAAAGTGCTACTGTCAAATCTCATTTCAAACTTGTATTTGTATTTAATCTACACATTGTAAGAGTTTCCTACGTATGGATAAGTTTTGTATCCATCTTTGTTTCATGTGTCTGTGCAAAGTGTAATTTTCACTACCTACAAACAGTAATTACCCCAACATAAAATTAATCAGATAGTAAAAGGCTAAAGTTTCCCCATGGTTTCTCTCTACTTCACTTTAGTTTTAGAAAATGTTGCCTTGTAAGCGACAATTGTTAGTGAAAAGCATAATTAGAAGATGCCATACTGAGCACTTCACTCACTGGTGACAGCTGTGCCACTCCCATGAGTAACGGGGTCTGCTGGGCAGAAAATCCGATGTGCCTTGATTTTTCACTCTTTGGGGGAATCTCAGGAGCACCCGATTGTCATAGTCCCTGACATCTGCTCGATAAGCTGAGCTGCAATGGTGCAAAACAAAGAAAACAAAGGAAAAAGCCATAAGTATATGCAAGAAATACTTTGAAAAAATGCTTTATATTGTCTCAGAAGTAACTGATAGCAGAGATCTTTTCAGGCTCCATAAGCCTCATGCATTGGAGATTCACAGAGGAATTCCATATGGTGTGGAAATGCCTGGTGTCAGACCAATACCTGAGTAAAATTCAGACCTGGTTTTAATTTTATAAATGGAAGTTTGACCACTGACTGACTCTCTCTATGAAGAAGATCACTGCTGAGCTGTAAAATTACTCTGGTAACAAAAAACATAATTTTATTAGTTGCTGTTAACCAAAATAACTCCCTGTGTATGCAAGATCACAAAACAGATGTCTGATTCTGTTATAAAAAAACCCCAAAAAACTAATATGTATATGAATGAGGCTGTGTTTTCCCATTCTACGTAGTTATTATCTACACTCTTTTAAATTTTTTAAATACTGGAATATTTTAATCAACTAATGGCCAGCAAGAACACTTTAATGAGTCTTCACTGTGAAGCTAGCAAAAAAAAAAAACAAAAAAACAACTGGTATGTCTTTTTTTTTCTTTTTTTTTTTTGCAAGTGAAGAGCAGGCATGACCCTGAAACATAAATTTATGATGCTGGTAAATAAATAAATTTGTTTTGCATGATAAGGTATCAAACAAGTTAAAGTGGTTAAAACCAGCCATGTTGATTTCTTTCCAAAGAAAACAGGAAAAATCCATCTTTGCCAACTGGACAAGACCTAACTTCATAACAAAGCTGTTATTTCAACCCCTTAAGAGACTCTGAAACACTTTTCAGAGGGATTTTAGTTTTAGGATACATTAAAAGGCATAGGCCCAGAAACAATTAGCTTATTATAATCTTAAGAGTAAATTGTGCTGGTTAAGAATAGGGTTTTTGTTCTTCAGTTTTTGGTTTTTTTGGGTTTTTTTTTAATGAAGAAACATATGATCTTGTGGGAGTAGAGGAGGGAGATTAACAGAATGAAGTTGTTTTCTAGGTGCCTCCATTTCACAAAATTCAGAAATGTTCAAGTGAGCCTGACAATAAAAACATGTAATACAACTTTCCGCAGCGTGTAGGTTCTTCATGAGATCTGCAGCTTGTCTCTCTAATGTGGCAGGACTGCTTTCTCTACCACCTGCCACAAACTTGGAAGAAGGTTACAAAGGGCTGTGTTTCCGTGAGCCCTCCAACCTCACTTTTCTCCTTCCTCACCGCGTTCACAGGTGGAAACAGGAGCACAGCAACCGGGCAAAATCTTGGGACAATGCCTACCTTGCCAAGCAGTTCTCCTCGGCAGCACATCTCAAGTTATACATGGACATCCTCTGGACATACGTGGACGCCTGGATGTAATAGGGATCCGGGACTAAGTCAGGGAGACCTGCAGTTCATCAAACCAACCACATAACAGTAAGATCAACCCAGGACACGTTTGCAAATATTTGGCTACCATCCCAGTCGTTAGGAGCCGTCGTTTTGCTACGGACCCCTGCTCTCCGTTAACCTCGCATTCCCCTTTGCCCAGGCTTATCCCAAACACCCCACCGCAACCACGACGCCCGGTACCCCCGGTGGGTTCATCGGCAGCCCGCCCCTCTCCCGGGCGCGGGGACTGGGCTGCCCGCAGCCCGAGAGCCCCCTCGGGTTCTGCCCCGAGCGAGGGCCAGGCAGGGCCAGCGGCCCCCGCAGCTCCCCCGGCCGGCAGCGGCAGGACCGGGGCCGCGGGCAGGGCAGGGGCGGCGCGGGCGGAAAGGAGGGCTCTTACCGTACTGGAAGTAGCCGGTGCCGTAGCCAGGTCTGTACCTGCTGCCCTGGCGGGGCCTCTCGTAGGTGTCGTAGTAGTTGTAGTAGGGGTTATCGTCCGTGTACTTGTAGGGGTTGTAGGGGTCGTCTCCGACCATGACATCTTCCCGGCCGGGCCTGAAGCTGCCCAGGGGCGGCAGGCTGCCGGCCCCGGCGCTGCTCCCGTTGCCGTCGGTGCCGGTGCCGCCGGCGGGGCTGGGTCGCGGCGCCCCCGAGGAGGCGCCCCGGGCCGCGGAGGTGGCGGCCCCTGGGCTCCGCTGCGGGGCAGCGGCGCGACCCCCGGAGGAAGCCTGGTAGCCGGCCTGGAACCAGTGCCGAGCCCCGGAGCCCCCGCGGCTGCCGGCGGCGGGCTGGGGCTGGGGCTGGGGCTGGGGCTGCGCGGCGGCGGCGGCGGCGTTGCGGGCGGCGGCTCTCCGCGGCAGCCCCGTGCCGTTGTTCCGCAGCAGCAGGATGGGGCTGCCCGCCGCCTCGGCCGCCTGCCTGCGCCGCGGGGGCTGGTACTGGGAGCCCAGGCTGAGCAGGCTGTACACCTGCCCGTTGTTCTCCCACTGGATCCGCTGCCTCCAGGCGGCGGGGGGCGGCGGGGGATCCCGGCGCGGCGGCTGCTGCTGGCAGCCGGCGGGCCAGAGGCAGCTCCAGTAGATGCACGCGTGAAGCTGGGCGAGCAGGAGCCCCGGCGGCGCGAAACGCATCTTCTCCTCTTTCGTGGGCGCCGGCGGGCAGAGAGATACGGGCGAAACCGAGAGGAGAGGGAGGGGGGATGGCGAGAGGAGAGCGAGGGGCGCCTTTCCTGCTCGGGATGGAGCGGGAATGGGGGGGGCGGGGGGGAGGGCGGTGCGGGGCGGCCGAGGGGTGCGGGCTGCGCTTCTGGAAGGGTCGGGCGGGCAGTGGGGTCTCAGGCGCTGCAGCACCCGGGAGGTGCCATCGGGCAGGTCGGGCCGTCGGAAAGGAAACCCGGCCCGGGGGAGGCGGCGAGAGCGGCTTTTCTTCTCCCCGGTATTTATAGGCGAGGGGATGCGAATGGGAGCCGGAGCAAACAATCAGCCTCTCATCGTCCTCCGGCCCGCGCTGGTGTCTGGAGCGAGGGAAGGAGGAGGAGAGACCAGGGACTTTAAACTTGCTGGCACGCTCGCAAAGTTACACAAGCCCCGCTGGCTGGGCTGGCTGCACCCCCGCCATTTGTTCACGTAATGCGGCTGGAAACGTGCGGCCCTGACAGTTCCCCCCACGGCCGCCCCCCGCCCGCCCCGCGCGGGGGCGGCTCGGGGGGAACGGGAACGGGGGGAACGGGAACGGGAACGGGGGAGGGGGAACGGGGCGGCTCGGGGGGAACGGGGCGGCTCGGGGGGAACGGGAACGGGGCGGCTCGGGGAAAACGGGGCGGCTCGGGCCGGCGCGGCGGCGGGGGCTCCCCATCCTCCCTCCCTCCCTGCCCTGCCCTGCCTGCCCTGCCCTGCCTCCCCCCGCGCCCCGAGCCGCGCCGAGCCGTGCCGAGCCTGCGGCGGGCGGGCGCGCTCAGACACACGTAGGCTGCCAGAGTATGCCGTGGGGCAGCGCCAAAGTATGCAAAGGAAAAATGCTATTAGCTCATCAGCGCTGGAGAGACTAGAAACGGGGTGGCGGGGAGGGGGAAGGGGCCGCTGGCGAGAGAGGAAACATGTTTCTGGAAAATGTGCTGGCCGGCACATCTCCCGGGCTGGAGCAGCTGCTGGTGACCTTCGTCTCAGCGCTGAGTAACAGTCGGATCCCCTTGATGACCTCTTAATTAGGAGAAAACCTTCATCAAATAAACTCTTGACTATTGACTTTTGGGTTTTGTGCATATGAGTCACACGAGAAATATGTTGGCGATGCTCCTCTTGGAGTAAGTTTTCATTGAAAAGTGAAATTTCACATGGGAGAGGCTTAGCCCTATCACCAGAACAAATAAACCTAGTTTGGGTAGTGTCTCCCCAAAATCGGGCTGGGGAAGAAGAGGACGCTGTGGCCCGAAAACCTCTCCCTTCCTTCCTGCTTTTACAAGAGTTCATCAAGGCTGTGTTTTGATAAGTACAATCACCCAGTAAGGCAAATGAATTAAGGTCCATGGATTTCAGCCAAAACTTCTTTTGGGTGTATTTTTCCAAAGGCTGTTTGCTTATGAATCCTTGCAAAGGAATTGAGGAGAATACACAAAAGTTCTCCTTCACCAAAAGTTTGGTGGTGAGAATATTTAAATGAATCTTGCCACTCTGCACTGGAAGTTTTCACCTTACTCAGGTAGATTCAAGGCACCCTAGGACTACTGCCAGCTTCCCCAGGTCAGGTTAACAGGTCACATGTTACCGGCCAGGTGGATATTGTGACTAGATTTTGATGGTTTTGTAGAGTTCTCCTGTCATTTGTTGTGTCGCAGTTTATTTTAATTGCATGTTATTTTAAATGGTACACAATAATAGAAAAACAGCAAAATGTGGTCCCACATTGTGGCTGTGATGGATGGTGAATGCTGATTTACACTGCTGTATTATTTAATAATACAACTAATTTTAACATTAAATTAACAGCTAACTAATAATAGAATTATTAGTTGCAGTGCTCATCTTTAAAGTACTTTCACCCCCCTGCAATCAGCGGTGCCACCTGCATGTCAGAGGTCCCCCCGCGGACTGGGGGTCATTGGCTCTGACTGCCACTGGCACCGGCTGCTCGCCACGCCAGGCTTGCTGGCCGTGCTCTGGCCACAAAAATGGTCGGTCTGCAGAACACTGGGGAGCACAGGGCACTTGTGCTCCAAAGACTGCAAAGTCTTCTTACCTGAGAACATATCCAGTAGCCAGGTGGGTGCTTGCTACCTACCATTGCTAGCCAGCACCAGGATGGTGGGGAGCATCTGCTGCACTGGGCCCCCAGCCAGAACAGTAACTGGTGTCTTTCCACAAGTGTGCTGTGCTACTTTGGGCAGTCTGCTGCAGAGGTGGTTTGGGCAGTCTGCTGCAGAGGTGGTTTGGTTCGGGTTCTCTTATTCATTGTATTTGCAGGCTGCTCATCCCCTATGATCTTCCTCACTGTGGCTTTGAAAATATTATTCTCCATTTAAGGGTTTGCCTGGAACAATCAGTGACTAAAGCTGAGTAAAATGGAAAGGTTGAAGATAGGGAAAATGCAACACTGAAGGAATGAGATTTCTGTCTTTTTAATCTTCCTCTAAATCTTACTAATGTTACAAACAGCAGGTTGTTGCCCAATGTGTGATATTAGACAATGTTTCCACACAGTGGGATTCCAGCCATTTTTTCTTATGCCTGATTAAGTTACTATTTTTCATGAAACTGGAGAAAGCATATTTGAGAGTGCTATTCTCACCCATCTATCAACTATTCTCACTGTTTGCGATTTTCTCCATAGCACAAGTTTCATCTATTAATCAATTTAGGGTTCATAATGCCTGAAAAGCATTATTAGCATTACTAGAGAGTCATGTCCTTCCCTTAGCATTAGGTGCCCATGTCCATTTAACTACTTTCCTCTCTCCACAGGTTGCCCAATTACACCAGGTTTTTACATCTTAGGTCTGAAAAGACCATCAAAAAGCTCTGTGACCTAAGGTGTGGAGGTGAAAATTTCTGCAATACTTTAAAAAGACTCATAAGCAAGTCAGGTACTGCGACTGCCCCAAAAACTGTCAAGCACTCTGATATTAAACTTTCTCATGAGGTTGATACAGCTGCTTTGTAAAGTCCAGTTCTGATACTGATCACAGTTAATTTAGTTACTTAAGCATTTGCTTACTCCTTTCTTTTTGTCTGGAATGACTGGTATGCCTGTGTACTTCTTGCACTGGCAATTTTGATTTCTGCCACCTACAGAAATAAATACAGTGTATATCAACTGAAAAATAGAACCTTCCTTCACAAAAAAATGACAAATAATTAAAGCAGATGTCAGTAAGCAATTGCAGCAATGTCTCAGAACCTGGTATCAGGTGGTAACTTATATTTAAATTTACATTTCATTGTAAGGTTTTAGCAGTCCTCATTCAGATGTTACAAATGGAAAAATGTCTCCAATGGCATTAGTAGCATTTGGAGTTATGTTAATGTGTACACTACTGCTAAACTGCTAATTCAGTTGTAAATCTTGAAAATTGAAAAATATTAACCTGTTCACCACAAAAATCAACAAAAATACCCCAAACAGAACCAAAGCTATTTGAATTTGGCATGTCTTAATACATCTCTTAAGACACGCATTTTAAGATTCTTTAATATTGATACGTGTATGATAGTATGAGAGTGTAAAAAAGGGGAAGCTATTTTAAATGTCAGTTTACATCAATCACGTTATTTGTTACATTTAATATTATTTTTTAAATATCTGCTCTGTAGGAATGGGTTGGATAATTCATGTTCTTGTTTAGTTAAAAACTGGCATGCTTAGCTAGGGTAGAATACCGGTATGTTTAGCATAAACCAAGAAATATAAATAATTTTATAAAATCCTAACAGGAAACTAGACAAACTTAATATGTGTTAAGTATAATTATAAGCTGTTATTTTTTTCCCTTGGGATTGAAGTGTTGTTTGTTGAGGAGTCACTACAATGAAAAATCTTGAAAAGTAGGGGTTGGTTTCAGCTTTTTCTACCTGGCAAATATTCAGTGTACTAATCTGATTTATGTTTGAATAGACAAAGAACTTACTCTGATTCTTCACTTTGCATAAACACTGAGTTGCAAGTAGATTATTCAAATTGATCTTATTTTGTAGATCTTACTTATAACACTTTTTATTCCTTCAATATTAGAAATTTTTAAAGTAATTTAAAATTACTTCAAATGTTAAAAGTTGTGTGATTTTGTTGCACACCAGAACACTGTGGATTTTTCTGAAGCATGTTTTGCAGAAGGTCCAGGTATCTTTATTTAGGAAGTCACTTTTAAGTCTTGGATTAAAAAGTTCCTAATTTTAATGAATTCCTCTTAATAATTGGGATTAAGATATTTTACAGAATGTGAATTTTACTAGAAACTAAGAACACTGAGCACTTTCAGATTCATGTCTGTAATGAGATTTTTTTTACAAACCAACTTAAGTAGAGACAAGAGTTATAGACTTTTTCTGACATCAGTAGTCTTTGGAGCAGACAGTTATTATTTTTACAAAAGTTAGTCTTCCAGTTAAATTTAGCTACCCTTTGTATGTCTGATTTTGAAGTCTCTTATCAGGCAACTTTCCACTACCATAAGTAAAATGCAAACATAAACTTTCAGACTTTTTTTTTCTACTCGGAACTTATAAAGGAACAAACAGATTTTTGTTCATCAATGAACTTGTCAATTTGTTGAAAAAATAAAATTCTTATAATTTTATTAGCAGGTAAGGTTCCCGATTCAAAATTAACAGCCAAAATGCCACCTGTCCCTTATCTAATATTTTGGGTTTATCTATCTGCAGTACAACACCAGTTTGTGGTTGCTTTGTTTTATGGACCATGGGTAGAACTGCTGAATTGCAAATACCTGCACCAGATGAAGTAAGTTAATTGCACCTTTCTATCCCTTCAGGATCTGACAACTTGATCAGGAAAAGCAGCTACAGGGCCTGAGACAGGTGTTGCTCTTTTCTTGCATGGTGAGGGTGGTGAGGGTTGAAGACAAAGCCTTCTGAGATCAGTGAATTTGTCAAATCACTGGTTTACGATGAGGCTTTAA